AGAGACGGACGTAGAGTGACAACTTTTAGTCCTAGTAAGTTTTACGACACTTGCAACACAAATAGGTCATATAAGTGCTGAAGATTAGAGGCATTACTAGAGAGTAACATACGAATAAAAGTAGGAGGAGAGAGATCAGGACGATATATTATCATGTCTGATAGAAAACAAGGAGCAAACAACACCGGGGCACCCATGAATTACCCACAGAGGAAGAATCGGGGGAGAAAGCGAAGAGGGTGGGGGATGGGGTACATAAACGTTATTATTATGATCTAACTTACGGAAGCTGAAAGTCAAGCCGTGGCTCCACTGGCTGAATGGTATTTTGAATGACTTAACCGCGGCACGTATACAAAACGGCTCGACTACGACCGAGTGACATTTTGACATTGGTTGACATATTCAAGTAGACTGATCGCGAATGGGACAACGAGGCACCAGACACACTTAACAAATAAAAGGAAGGGGAAAAAAGAAAACGAAAGGCAACTTTTATTAATTCATTTGGGAAATTTTCTTCACAATTATTGTGTACACAGTTTTAAATCACGTTATAATATTATAAGCGTTTTACGCGCTTGCAATACACCTAGGTCATAGAAGTGCCTAAGATTAGAGGTGTTATTACGGTGTAATAATATACAATGAAAAGCAACCACTCCAGAGCACACGAAAACCACCAAGAATTTCAAATTCATGCAGCACAATACAATGCAGACTATATTGTAAACCAGTTTTATAATACACAATCTGCACTGCTAGAAGACGTAGAAATAGAAAGGGGTTGTTTTGTCTGAGTAAAGGTTTTACGGCGCTCACAGCTGCATAAGGTCATATGAGCGCCAGAAGATTAGAGGTGTTACAAGAGAGTAACAAACATAAAAAAGAAGGAGGGGAGATAAGGACGATAGATGTTTGATAGGAAAGAAGAAGCAAACCACACCAGAGCACCTGCCAACCACCCACGAAAGAGGCTGCTTTGAAAGAGGATCGACGTAACTTACTCAAGGGCTAATCCCAGTGGCCATCCCTTATGGAATTTTAAAGTCTCATTTAGCACTGATCGACTCTTTACCGGTATGAATTACATGATCCCGAGTTTTATCAAATTTCCGTGTTTCATAAACTATTCGACCCTTCATGACTTCAACTTTAACGCGCCCATAAACACTGCCAGCTATTTACGTGGTTTTGAAGACAATTATTTAGTCCGCCAAGTGGCTTACTTCCGATTTGCCAGAGTGTGGAACCCCTTGGGGCGGTGCTACTGATTGAAGTGTCTTTAGTCCATTCCCAAAAGGGAGGGG